CAACGGTAAGTAAGGAAAAGGGAATAAATAACAGTCCTGATACAATTGTGTCGAAAAAATCGGAACAGGAGGAGTCAGTGGGGAAGAAGGAGGTGAGTTTCGAGATCGAGGAGACTTCGACATTAGATGTTGAATCTTCAAAGAAAAGTAATTTAACCGCATTCACTGCTTTTGGTACAAGGGACCTCCAGGAAGTTGTAAGTGAAATTAAGGTTGAGTTTGAAGCTGCTTCTAGCTATGGGAAAGAGGTTGCCATGTTGCTTGAAGTGGGGAGATTGCCTTATCGGTCTAAGATCGCTGTACTTAAAGGTTGGTACCCTTAAAACATCTCTCTCTCTCTCTCGCTCTCTGAAAGGGTTGATTGATTATTTAACATATATGTTTTGGCCCTGTTTGATAATCAATTTTTAGTTTTTGAAAATTAACCTTAACACTATTTATGCTATAACTTTATTACCCATGTATTCGAGAACCACTTGAAGTTTGGAAAACTAGAAAAAAAAAAAAGTAGTTTTTAAGAACTTGTTTTTGTTTTTAGGACTTGACTAGGAATTGAAGTGTTTGTTCTAAAAATGTGGAAACTATAATTAGAAAATTTGGAGAATACATGCATAAATAAAAAAACAGAGAACTAGACTTGAAGTAGCTATCAAATGCAGCATTACTCTTTGGATCCTTTCTATTTCCTACTGCTTATACAATTCCCATATAGGTAACAAATTAGTTTGCGGTGTTACAAAAATTCCTGTTATTGTGCAGTTATTCTTTCTCGGATCCAGTACTTGGTCGCCCCTTCCTCAGCATCTTCTCGGCCGCCATTGATTTGGTTGGACCCTAAGACTGTGAAAATGGCTAAAGCATATTCTGGGTCTAGCAGTCCTGGTAACGAGCTTGACCTGAAATCTGGAAGCCTTTCATCTACGCTGGAGAAGCTTTATGCATGGGAGAAGAAACTGTATAAAGAAGTTAAGGTATTGATGAATATGAGCTATATGCTAATTATTGCTTCTTGATTATGTAGTTGATTCGATTTGATTCCAGAGGTGTTCCTTAATAAATGCATTCAAATATAAATTTGTAAAGAGTCTAGATAAGCTCGATAGATTGGCATCCTTTTTAATGTCAACACCGTCAAATTTGGTGAATGCGTTTTAAGATAAGGAGAATTCATGTCTACACAACTAAATTCTACACTAATAAAAAAGAAAGGAATTGTTACTGAGTAAGAACACATGCTTTTGATTTTGATTCAATGAACCTGTGTTTTGTACTCTACTTTTGCTGAAGAGAACGCAAGCTCATTCTCATTGCGACTTTCTTTTGGTTTTCTGTTACTAGACCAGTTGTTCTTGTGATCCTTGCCATTCGCGTCTTGTTTTGTTGCTGGAAAGTGTCGGCTTTAGCAAAAAGAGCTTTCTCGTGTAGGTGGCAGATGCGTTTAGAAAAGTTCTAAATGAAATTGTATCCCATATGTTAGTTACATGCTAACATTAAAAATACTCATTAAGCCATTTTCCTTCCTGCTTGACTATTAATTTTATCTACGTGGTTCTAGCTTCCTAAGTATATGAACGACCGTTAATGATGACCGGACGTTATGAAATCATGGGGTGAAGATAGCTACAATTTTTTAGGTAGAATAAAAAAAAAAGACTCGAATGATGTTGTGCAGTTGGCATGAAAACGCTGTCCTATTCATAACAAATCTCTAATGTGATGTTCTAGGATGGATGTATGTAGCTTCATTGCTTTTAGTTAGGTGTTTGGGTATAAATAACTTTCCTGACTACTGTTTTGTGTTTTTTGCCAGGATGAAGAAAGGTTACGTGTTATTTACGAAAAACTATGCAAGAAGTTAAAAAGGTTAGACGACCATGGAGCCGATTCCTCTAAAATTGATGCTGTGCATGCCTCTATTAGAAGATTATCAACCAAGATCGACGTCTGTATCAAAGCCGCTGATGCTATATCGAGCAGTATACATAAGTTACGGGATGAAGAACTGCAGCCTCAATTAACTGAGCTGATTCATGGGTATTCAAACACTTCCAATCTCGATTATTCAATTTTTTATAATCTATCGTTGCAATGATTTGTGAAAATAGATTTTATATCCATAGTTTAATGTTTATTGAGGGAACTTGCTAAATCACCGATCAATATTAATATTAATTTGAAGAGGAAATGACATTACAGATGGGGGGTGGATTTGGTGTGCCAGGACGCTGGCTCCGAAGGGGGTGGATTTGGTGGGGTCACACATTGGTTGGAGAAAGAAATGAGTGCCAATGAGGACACTGAGCCCCAAAGGGGGTGGATTATAAGATCCCACGTAGGTTGGGGAGGATAACAAAACACCCTTAACAAAACACCCTTAACAAGGGTGTGGAAACCTTTCCCTAACAGATGTGTTTTAAAAACCTTGAGGGAAGGCCCAAAGAGGACAATATCTAATAGCGGTGGGCTTAGGCCGTTACATGCAATGTGCATAAGTTATTTTAACATGGGCTTTCACATGATACCTTTTGAATTCTTGGATTATATCACTATAAACAGCATATAAAGATAACCTGCCTATTAACTTTGGCAGTTGCCATGGCATCTTTGTTTGCAAGTGGCTAGACATGAACATGTAATAAATTTTGCTCTTTTTTACATGCAGGTGGATAAAAATGTGGAGATCCATTCTCAAATGCCACCAGAAACAATTTCAAGCACTCGTGGAGAGTAAGTTTCGATCATTAAAAGCTAGAACGGGCTCGAGAAGAGATGAGAGTTTGAAAGCTACTGTGGATCTTGAAGTGGAACTTGTCAATTGGTGCACCAGATTTAACAATTGGATCCACACCCAAAAAGCTTATGTTGAATCATTAAATGGATGGCTCTTACGATGCCTTAACAAGGAGCCTGAAGAAACCGCCGATGGAGTCGCTCCTTTTTCGCCAGGTCGAATGGGAGCTCCACCGGTTTTCATTATTTGCAATGATTGGCACCAAGCTATGCTTGAAATCTCAGAAGATAAAGTGGTTGGTGCCATTCATGGTTTTGCTTTAAACTTGCATGAGTTATGGGAAAGACAAGATGAGGAACAACGTCAGAGAATCAAAGCCAACTTCCTTTACAAGGATTTTGAAGAACATCTTAGATCCTTAAAAATCGAGAGGGCAACGATAAAACCCGACCAGGACGAGGCATCGGGAGGAACTGTACTTTCAAAAGCTCCTACAGAAAGTGGAGTTTCGCCACCAGAGGATGTGAAAGTTAATTTGGATTCATTGAGAAGGAAGCTATATGATGAGAGAGCAAAACACAAGGATGCCATTAAGCTGGTTCACAATGCTGCTTCAAATAGCATACAGGCAGGCTTGGTTCCAATCTTTGAGGCTTTGGAAAAATTCAGTTCTGAGGTCACAAAAGCTCATGAGCAAGTCAGGCTTTAAACCTAACCTCTTACAGGCTAATACCCGAAGTACGATTTGGCCCGCTACATCATGTTGTCGCATTTCATTCGGCTGGACAGGATTGTACCACAGCAGGTTGCGTGCACTCGGGGGACTCGCTACAACATACCGGCGCTCGTAAATCCTGGTAGATTCATGTAAGAATCCCCTCTCTTTCATGTGCATATATATATATATATATAAGCCATTGAGATGATCTGGTGTATGTAAACTATTAGTCTAGCTAGCAGATAGAAGCCATGGAAATGGATTAGACACACTGAGATAAAAAGAATGAATAAGATGTAGCTAGAAGTGAGATTTTTGAAACAGAAAATTGGATGAGAAGAGAGGGGTCTTCTTAGGATTAAGGAGAACACATTTTAGAGGTTTGCTTAGTGTTACAGTCATGCTTGTCTAGAGCGTGTTCAAGTTCAGAACGAGTGCAATCCTGACACTTAGCACCTTCATTGGAGGAACATAGATTTTAGAGGTTTGCTTAGTGTTACGGTCATGCTTATCTAGAGCGTGTTCATAATTGTATTGCAAGTTCAGAACGAGTGCAATCCTGACACTTAGCACCTTCATTTGAGGAACATAGATTTTAGAGGTTTGCTTAGTGTTACGGTCATGCTTATCTAGAGTGTGTTCATAATTGTATTGCAAGTTCAGAACGAGTGCAATTGTAACACTTAACACCTTCATTTGAGGAACATAGATTTTAGAGTCTCTTTAGTGTTGTGATCATACTTGTCTTGAGCGTGTTCACAATTGTGTTACGAATCTCGAACGAGTGCAACTGTGCCACCTTCTTTGAGAAATGATGTATAGAAATTCATTTATCGATACATTTTTTTAGATTCTTCTAGAATCTCCGAGATGGAAGAACTTCCCAAAATTTTGACGAGGAGTACCGTTGTTGAATTATTATTATTTTGGATTAAATTGAGTAGTAAGTAATGTATTGACGTTTCTTTTAGGGAAAATAAGTCAAATTTAACCATGAATCGTTAGGTTTTATGAATTTCAGCTTTAAACTTTCAATTTCATTTATTTGATATATCTATTTATTCACTAATTTTAAATAAAAATAAAATAAAATTATGCAATGAAATTACCTTATAAATTTATAATGTGATTGACTAATCTATGCTCAAATTAGCAATAATTAAATCATTGTTACAATTTATTTCTTCTTGAAAAATATAATATGGCAATCATTTTTTTTATTGTAATTATTTTTTAATTTCATAGGAGAAAATGCAAATATTTAACTTCATTACAAAAGTATTAAAATCAGAATAATATTTTAATCAATTTAATTTTAATAGAACATTAAATATTTAATATTTTGGTGAATTTTAAACATGGAATAGGTAAATTAAATATTAAATTTTGTAAATTAAATAATCACAATTAACGTAATAATTGTGGTGTAAAAATAAATAAATAAATAAATACGCATTATAAACGCTTTTTTTTTTTTTAAATATGACGAAAATAAATTGTAAATGCCAAAGAGCTCAGAGTGGTCCTATCCAGGTTTGTCTTAAGCATGCGAAGCACGTGGTCGGCAATGGCGCGATTTTCTCTCTTTTCTTGATCTCTCTCTACAATCAATGCTGTAAGTAGGCGAGGGAGAGCTCTGACCAATGGCTATGGCTATGGCGATGGCGTCCGCCGTTTCTCTCTGCTTTGTTACTCTTTTTGCTTTACATTCTTCTTTCTTCGTGCTCACAGTTGCTGCGACGTCCGATAACCCGGAGTTCGTCGTCGAGTTGGACCGTTCTAACTTCACCGACTTCGTAAGCAAGCTCGATTTCCTTATCGTCTCCTTCTACACTCCGAGGTATACTGATTTATCTGCTTAATTTGTGGTTCTTTTGTGTAGTTCAATTCCTTCATTGCGAGGTTCTTACTTGTTGCTTTTGTTATTTTACCTCTACGTCTTACTATCTTAAATTGAAGTATGTAAAACTAGGTGTTGCCGTTGTTTTGTATGTTTCTTTCTTCATTTCGTTGTGGATTGTTCACTTTTCCTTGTATTTTGGTTGGTCGGTACTATCCTCAAAAACAATCGCGCGTTTCCTTTTTCTTGGCTATTAATCGTGGCGTTTGATTACAACTTGCAATGATTTCGTTTCAGATGTGGACATTGTAAGAGGCTGGCACCGGAGGTGATATATATCTCTGTTCCTAATATCAGTAATTTGTAATCTGATTTTCGGAGTGCTATTGGACTGATCTTGAATCTCGAGAATTTAGGTATCGTAACTGACTGACTTGTTGAAATATTTTGCAGTATGAAAAAGCTGCTAATATTCTGAGTAAGCATAATCCTCCTTTGACTTTAGCAAAGGTTAATATTTTCAATGAAGCAAATGATGGACTTGCTGGATCCGACGGCACAATTTCTATCAAGATTGTGAGAGAGGGAGGTAAGAATGTTCAAGAGTACAAGGGCCCTCGTGATGCAGATGGTATTGTTGAATACGTGAAGAGACAGTATGGCCCTGCCTCTGTTGAAATAAACACTCTGGATGATGCCCAAAGTTTCATATCTGACAATAAGATTGCTATTGTGAGTACTCTATTTTGGCTACTCTGATATTATGCGAAAATTGTTACTCTTTGATTAGGAAGAATTTGTTAGAAACTTGACGAGAAAGTTTAGGAGATCAGTTGTGTTTTATCCAATACTCATGAGATGCATTTTATTTTTACAACAACACATAGAATTGAAAAGCATAAGTGCTTAAGATTGCTTTGTTCCAAAAAGCTCTATTATTCGGCTTCAATTATTTGTTTTGACATATTTAGATCGTGGGTCATTTTCAACCGAATTCTCATATTTTCTCTACTTGCAGGTGGGCATATTCCCTCAATTTTCTGGGGAGGAGTTTGAAAACTATACTATCCTAGCCAAGAAATTGCGTTCTACTGAAGAATTTTTTCATACTTCAGATGCCAAACTTCTTCCGCGTGGTAAATCATCTGTCACTGGTCCCTTAATGAGGGTGCTCAAGCCATTCGATGAGCTCTTTGTTGATACTCAGGTAAAGGAGAATTCTCCATGTCTCTATGTTCTTGAATACCAATTATCCTGTCAGATCATAATATGCTGCGAATTGGGATTCTTATGGAAGCTAAACTTTCAGGATTTTGACGTGGATTCCCTCGAAAAATTTGTTGAGAAATCAATTGTACCTACGGTAACTATCATGGATGGTGACAAGAGCAATCAACGTCTAGTTGATAATTTCATGTATAATTCAAATTCGAAGGTTAGAAGGAATCTAACAGTTCATTTTGTTATCATGGTTCAGAGAATATGCTAAAGTTATTCTTTTCTCGAGAATTTTCTAATCAAAATTCCGTCTCCAAATTTCGTAGGTCATGTTGTTTATAAATTTTAGCAGTGAGATTGCTGCTTCCTTTGAATACAAGTATCGTGAACTTGCAGAGCTCTACAAAAGAGATGGCCTCAGTTTTCTGATGGCAGATATTGATGCTAGTTTGCATGCGATTAAGGTCCATAATTCGGTATCCCTTTATTGTCATTGTAACTTTGAAGTTATTTATTTATTTGGTTACTCCCGCTTAATATATATGTTCAAAAACTTCAATGTTCTCTGTTCTTGTAAATTACAGCAATATGGAGTTAAGGATGGTCAAATACCCTTTATTATCCTACTAAGTGATAAAACAAAGTATCTGAAATCCAATGTGGAGCCTGATAAACTTTCTCCTTGGTTGAAAAGATATAAGGTGATACCTCTCCCTCAGTTCAAGTGTTCCATATTCAAAATTTGCGAGGAATTGTTTCATTTCTCAGCCTCAGTTTTGATTGTTAATTAGTTCATATTGATTGCTCTGGGGTTTTCTTATGACTAGTTTCATTTCTGCAGAATAGAGAATTGGAACCATACATAAAATCTGAACCTATACCAGAGCATAATGACGAGCCCGTGAAAGTGGTGGTAGCTCACACATTTCAGGACATAGTTTTCAAATCAAGGAAGAATGGTATGTATAAGCACATTCATTGGAACACATGTGAGTTTAAACGGTTATTTAATGCTGTTTTCGATTTTGATCTGGGTATTTACATGGCTCAAAATTGGAAATTGATCCTATCACTTTTGGTTAGTGATCTTGCATTGCAACTTAATTGATCAGTATCCAGAGAAAGTTGTTAATGGAGTGAAAATAGGGATTGCTGTGAATTAGTTTATGATATTCAACCATTGAAATTGCCTGAGATAACCGTGAAATATGGAACACGTTACTTTTTGTGTCGTTTAATAACTATTTTGTTTTCTCACAACTTTTTAGTAAGTTTTCTCGTTTCTGAAAACACATTTGAATTCTTAGCCAAATTTCAAAAACCAATTCAAGGTTTTTAAAATTACTTTTATAGTTTCAAAAACTTTTGAACACGTTATCAAACAAGAAAACTATATGTGGAAGTAGTAGTGGTAAGAAATAAAATAGTTATCAAACGGGGCTTTTGTTATTCAGTTTGCATTTCTTAGTTGCATGATTACAATAGGATTGGCACGTCCCTGATACATGCTTCACTGCAGTTCTGCTCGAGTTTTACGCTCCTTCGCATAAAGCCTGCAAACAGCTGGCTTCAGTCTTTGAGGATCTTGCCATGGCATATCGAAGTGATTCTGATGTCATAATTGCTAAATTCGTAAGATATATTCTATACCCTTTTTTAGTGCTTCTCTGCTACATTTTGTTATCTTTATACGCTTGCTTGCTCCGTATGCTAAGAAATAGATGCACATCATAGTGGCTGTTAGCACAATAAATCCATTTTTTTAGCATGCATGAAAACTGAAAAAAAAACAGTCTCAGTGATTAGTTGCCAGTGATTGCTCGGTTTTGACCTTCGATCGAAGTTGTCAAAACGAATAACGAAGCATAATGAAACACTCACAAATCACACTTCGTACTAAAATACTTTAATCACAATACTTTTTTTACTCCAAAATAAGTTTCTCCTAGAAATGCTTAACGATTAATAATTTCTCATATGCTCTACTCCACGATTAATAAATCATGGGTCAACAATGTACTTATATTATAATATGACATGTAATTATTTCAAACAGTTTATTAACTTTTCAATGCATGATTGCCACACCCCATGATTCCAACGTAATGCTTAATGTTCAACTTTGAATAAGTCGAGCTTCGGACATATATCTATTAAAATAAATATTATTTTTGTCCAAATAATAGCTTTGATGATCTGAATAATTGCATCCCTGTCCATCTATTGTCCCTAAAACTCCTATAAATTCTTGCATCGCATCGTTTTGAGTCGTTTTCGAAGTAAATTTACACTCATTTTTTAACATTGACGTACATGGTGACTTCTTCAGGACATTTTTGCAAATGACTTAGTACATGACTTTGAGATCTGGACACTCCCTACTATTTACTTCAAGTCAGCTGATGGGAACATATCAAAATACACTGGGTATGCAACGAAGAAAGACTTGAGAGATTTCATTGAAAAGAATAGGTCGAAAGCTGCTGATGAACATTCAGATTCAAAGGATGAGCTCTAATGGCGGTAAGCTCTCTGTTCTTACACATTACCTGTAGAATGTTTCTATTTTTCTTTTCTATGGGTATCAAATGGGTTAGATCTCTAAACATTGCTAGCTCTCTACCCTTGAAAATTAGCTTAAAGTTAGCAAACGTAAATCATCTTAAATCTTTTGATATTAGTTTCTCTTTGATTGGAATTTAGGATAACCAATGGTGAGAGATATTTTATAGGCTAGAGCTTAGATAGGTCGATATTAGATGAAAGGCTAAATTAATAAAAATATCTTAAACTTTTTACTTTCTTTCAAACAAATACTTCTAAACTCTTAAAAGTTTTAATTAACACCCTCGAACTTTAAAAAAAATATTTAAAAATACTTTTACCTTAGTTTTTGAACGAAAATAATTAATATTTTATTTTAAAAAAATCTTTCTAACCCCAGCATTAATACCCTTTTAACTTTGTTAAAAAAAACAAAAAACTCATAAATTGTTTTTCAACTTTTTATTCATGAATATTTTTTAAATGTGATATTATAGTTTTTTTTTTAAAAAAAAAAATTTGTTTGAGGTTTTCAAAAAAGTTTGATGGTATTAATGAATTTTTTAAAAATCTAAAAGATATTTTTGAAACAATTTTGAAAATTTGAGAGTATTTTTTAAATAAATTATTAAACTATAAGATGTTTTCAAAAAGTTAAATATTTTTTTTAGAGTTTTTTTTTTATATAGTTTAACGATGTTACTAAGACTTCAAAAATTTTAGGAGTATTTTTGTTAGATAAAGTGCCAAAATTATTGTTATTAATTTAGCCATTGATCCAAGTTTTTGGGATCAAAATGGTATTTAACCCTAAATTAAATTAGGATAATTAATATAATTTAATTTTCAATATTAAAAAATGATTAAATAAACATTAACTAACTATGATATTAGATTTCGTTCTATAATATTATCAAAATCTTATGAATTTCTCGGTAAATCATTGCCCCAATATTTATACAAACATAATAAAAATTAAAAAAAAATCAACATTTTTCTCTTAAAATTAAACCAAAAATAATGAACACTCAATTCATTTCAACATCGAAACCCTTCGAAGCAAATTATTAATTGCTATATCATAAGCATCTTGGAATTTCCGAATCAAATTATTCGAATCTCCATAAACCAAGCCAGGCATTAGTTCATAAACAATATACCTTCTCATTTCCTCTCTTTTTTCCATTGAAATCCCTTTCAATTTTTCCACCACATTTTCTCCACTTCTCTTCAACTCTTTCTTGTCAATCATCACTGAATATTTCCCATAATCCTCCGGTAAATGCCATGGATACTGATAGTACGCCGTAAACGGATCGAAAAACACTGGAATACAACCAGAAATCAACGAATCAAAAACCGATTTCCTCGTCGGACTGTCTCCGGGCGGCTGCAGGCAAAATTCTGACTCCAAAAACAGCTCAATCACCGCCTCCGGCCGGTCGCAGTCTCCGCTCGTGCAGTCCATATGCCGGCAGAGCCGTTCCGCCGCTGCTGCTGCGGCGCAATGGTCGATTAATAACGACCGTATGTTCTCCAGCGAGTCGGGTCGGGCTGCTCCTGCGAACCCGACGAGATGTTTCCTCTTCGATCGGTGGGCTTTTCGTTGCCAAGCGAAAACGTTGTCGTCTGTATGAGGATGGAAGAATGTAGGATGGGGTATTCCGACGTCGTTTTGATGCCATGGTTGTCGTTCGATTAAGAGCTTGATAGGGTTCTGTAATTCGTCGAATTCTAGAAATTTAGTTCCCCAATTTGCGTTTCTTCGAAAATCCCATGAGATTTTCCCCAAAACAAAGACGTGATCCTTGCCGGAGTTTTGAATCCATGGCTTCTGCTCCGACAGCCATTGAATTAGCTCTAAGCCTAATGAATCCTTCAGAGAATTCGTTACATTGTTCTTGAAATGCCATCGGAGAATGTCCAGTCCGCCATAGTAGGGCACGTAGAAAAGCTTCGCTTCGTCTTGCTTGTAAACTCTGCAAGGATGCTTGAGAATCCTGGAATGGAAGATCGGCTCGAGCGCGTACTGATGAGTATTGTACCATCCTTTCCCCAGCGCCGGAATCGGATCTCCTAACCCTTCGTTCCTGAAATGTTTGCAGAAATCCATCCATGGAACCATCTCGCCGCACTGCTCCACCAGCTCTTTATTGAACTTCGCCGGAAGTTCGTACACGTAAATGCCTCTTCCGCCGCACTCCGCCGCTCCTACATTAGTGTTCCCCGTCGACACGCTCATCCACGACCTCTGCCGCCGTAGCTGCTCTTCAATGGCCTTCATTGCATTCATAATCTCCTCTTCGTCTCCGCTTCCGGCCGTGATTCGACGTCCATTGACGGAATGTTCGCCATCGTCGTCGTTGATCTCCTTGTTCTTCATAGATTCTGCAGAAATGGAAGGTTCTGGAACTTCAACGATCTCCTTTATATACCCATTATTGGAACTGGAATTTCGTAGTGTTTCTGATTCCCTGTATGGAAATACTTATAAATAATTATTTAAATTGAGAAATAAATTGTTTTTATTTCAAAACTAAATTCTAGAATATGTAGAAAAAACTAAATAAAAAAATATTTTATGGTTATTTATAGAATATATCATCACTAATCATTAAATATTTATATCTAACGCTCCAATTAATTAAAAATAATAATAAGGAGAATTAAATCAATTTAACGCTAGCTGTAATAATAAAAAAAAAATCAATTGAACATTTTTATTTTTTATTTTTTATTTTAAAAGTTAAAGAAAACTAATTGTGAATAAGCTAGGGATTATTTGGTTAATAATGAAAATAATAATAATAATTTATTAAGGTTAAACTAAAAGTTTCTTAGAAAATTACAAATAAACCCTTAAAACTTTCAATTTTGCATATTTTTGTATCTATTATTTTACTTAATTAAATCTATAAAAAAATAGAAAATATTCCATTTTCATTTACTTTTATAAAATTACAAATAAACCCTTTCCAATTGGTTTGTATCTATTATCGATTAAATCTATACAATAAATATATATATATCCCATTTTCATTAACTTTTAAAAAATTATAAATAAATCCTTAAAACTTTCAAATTTGTATAAATCTATAAATATAAAGTTTCATTTTTATTCCCTTTTTAGAAAATTGCAAATAAAACTTTCAAATTGGTAGAAAATTACAAATAAAACCTTAAAACTTTCAAATTTGAAATTTGCATAAGCATTCATTCACTTTTAGAAAATTACAAATAAATCCTTAAAACTCTCAAGTTTACATAAATTTATACCAAAGCGGAAAAGATCCCATTTTCCTTACTTTAGAAAGTTGCAAATAAATCCTTAAAAACTTTTAAATTTGCATAAATCTATAAATAAAAGATTAAAAAAATGTCCCATTTTCATTCACTTTTACAAAATTGCAAATAAAACCTTAAAACTTTCAAATTTGCATACATTCATTTTTAGAAAATTACAAATAAGTCCTTAGAACTCTCAAATTTACGTAAATTTATATCAAAATAGAAAAGATCCCATTTTCATTTACTTTTAGAAAATTGCAAATAAATCCTTAAAACTTTCAAATTTACATAAATTTATACAAAATATATAAGGTCCATTTTCATTACTTTTAGAAAATTGCAAATAAATCCTTAAAACTTTCAAATTTGCATAAATTTATACCAAAATAGAAAAGGTCCCATTTTCATTACTTTTAAAAAATTGCAAATAAATCCTTAAAACTTTCAATTTTGCATACTTCGACCTTCGACCTTAATCGATTAAATCCATATAAAAAAAATGCCCCATTTTCATTCCCTTTTTTAAAAAAAAAAAAAAAGGTACTAAACTCGTAATTTAACAAAAATAAAAACGAAAACATTACCGGAGGGCGAGCTCGGGACGACTATGATTAACAACTTGGATCGGAATCTGAAAGTCGGGGCGGGAGCCAGCAGAGAGGCAATAAAGATTGGTAAGCTTTCTAGAGGAAACCCAAACATGAATGAATCTCCGAGAAACAATGGAGGTTGAAGAAGACCATAAAAGCATAAACAACGTCAAGAAAATTGCAGCAGGGATTCCGTACAAAACGGCGCCGTATAGACCCGCCTTCCTTCTTTCCTCCACTTTCTTGGATTGCTTGGTAATGGCGGACGACCTTCTAGAAACCGCCATTTTTGGGCTGGACTGAAGAAGCTTGTAGGTCGTGGCCATGGCTTCTCTGGTTTTTTTTTTTTTTTTTTTTTTTTTTTTTTTTTTTTTTTTTT